TCTGCAGCACTGTCCGTCTCGTCAAATCAATCGCATCGCATCACCAGACCAGAACGGCTAGTAGGCAGAGCAGAGAGGCATGAATCTGCAGGGGAGAGAGCAATGGATGAGTCTGCAGGGCAGAGAGCAATGGAGGAGGAGATGCAGAGCGGCGACGGCGAGAGGGAGAGGGAAGGGGAGCCGCGGCGGCTTGAGAAGACGAACAGATCCGCGGCCAGCAATGGCAGCATCGATCTGGATCTTCTTGACTGCACCATCTGCTTGGATCCCCTCCGCCCTCCGCTCCTCCAGGTACATCTCTTGTTTATCCCCTCTTTTGTTTCCCTTGTTCGAACGAGATTGGTAGATTGGATTGTTGGATAGCACCGTTTGCCCTGTTTGGTCTACCACTGTATTGGGAGATTGGGTTGCCCGAATGCCATGCCCTGCCATGCCTGTAAAATAAATCTATAAGTTCTGGTAGAAATCATACAGTAGATGGCAAAGAGAGTTCAGGTAAAATCAACAGTATCATGTTGATTCACCATTCACGCATATCTTGCTGCAGAAGATGTTAAGGAAAGGCGATCCGTCAGTGTCTTATACCAAATAATCTCACCCTACGTCCCCCCTTGAGGTCAGATTTTTGTGTTGTCAAATTTACTGTATGAGGCACCAGCAAACTGAAAGCTGAATCCTTGATTGAATCATCAACTACCTGAATCCTCAACATCCAGTGACAAACTCATTGCATTGCAAGAGGATTGCACTCAAGTGTACTGCTCTTCGGCTCTAAAAGTGAACAGCTCCATATAGCTCTGCAAATACCACAGGGCCCTCCTAAATCAGACCATTCCCCATCCTTCATCAAGCACCTTAATTACAAACCAATGATTGAATCGAACAGCTACGAAAATGGATTCGACCTGCAACCTAGTCATCCTTCTCCAATTATATAGTATTTTCTTTCTGTAAACTTTTTGGTCAAGCATCACCTGCAACTCCCAAGGTACCGGGAAAAAAATGAGTCTGTTTGATTTTGTGGAATCTGTGGCCAAATTTTGGTCAAGCATCACCTGCTAAGAGATTATGCAATGAATTTGCCGCCTGCATAAAACATTTCCATGTCACAGCATCATTACTTTTCAGCAAGAACAAATTGGTCAATCATGTTTGCGCGGTTCTTCATTGCTGTTTCCCTGCAACCTTCTGAACTGAAACTGAAGATCTATGTTTGCAGCATAACCATCATTTTCACAAGCAGGCCTCTAACCATGGTGCATTTTCCTTCTTGAGACACAGTGCACAGTTGGGCATGTAATCTGCTCGTCCTGCCACGACAGCCTACCGAACAAGGACAGCTGCCACATTTGCACGGCCACCGGTGGCTAAAATCGATGCATCGCGCTCGACAAAATCCTGGAGTCATTCTGTGTTCCTTGCTCCAATCCCGTGTACGGGTGCACTGTGAAGACACTCTACTACAAGGCTGAAGATCATCGCAATTCGTGCCCGCACGCGCCATATTTCTGCCCAGGACCCGCCTGCAGCTTTGCCGGCACAACTGACAAGCTCCTGGCTCATCTCACCGGCGATCACAAGTGGAAATCCAAGGAGGTTAAGTACGACGCCAAGTTCACTCTGCCTGTCAAAGAAGGGACGTGGGTTCTCCACGCCCGAGACCACGCTCCCCTGTTCCTGGTGAAATTCACCCTGGCGCCGCCTTTCGGCAATGTTGCCTCCGTCCTGTGCGTGGATCCTCATGCCACCGCTGAGCGTAGGTTCAGGTGCCGTCTTGGTTCCAGGTGCACCGCCATGGGTCAGCAGCAGTCCTCTGATTTCCAGGTCAGGAGCACCAACCTCTCCGACGGGTTACTGTTCACAGAGAATGGTGGCTCCTCACTGTTTGCTTCTAGCACCCACAGCATCACTGTCAGTATCGTGAAGATAGTGCGCGACAAGCGTAAGCGTGAGAAGGCGATGCGGCAAAGTATGCTTCCGTTTGTGGCAGCTAGTTGATCAGTGTTTCTGCGAAGATAGTCTGTCGTGTCAAGCGTAAGCGTGGGAAGGAGGTCGAACAAATTACACTTCCGTACGTGGTAGCTAGTTGATCCATGTTGGCTATATGCATAAATTGATGGACAGGCTGGGGGTACTTGAAGTGATGTACATGTTTACAGAGTTGTTGTTCAGGTACCCATGTGTGCATTACTTAATGCTTCCATTCCAATATCGATGTCATTTTGGCTAGCTGAAAGCAGATAGTGTATGCTCCATGGAGAAGTTCCTTCTGCTTTTTTGGATTAGTAGACTCCGTTAACTAATTGTGTGCCTACCTGCTTTTTGATAGCTTGCTATTGGTTAGACTTAGTTTGAAAAATTTATGCAAGTTTTGACATGATATTTAAGATGTTGGGTGACCTCTTTTCGGCAGCTCTGCACATGTTGTTACTCTCTTGTTCAAGCTCTGGTACTAAGATTTTGATTAGCAAGTACTACTAAACATGCACTTGTGTTATATGTAAATTAGTTGCATGCCATGTTGAGAACTTGCCTTCTTGGTTCTTGATTCTTTGAGTTATTACCTGGTTCTGGTTTTTTATCGGTAAGACTACCGAGATGCCGCCGTTTCACTTTGCCTCTAATATCTCCATTCTTTCACCATGATGGACGGCTGCAGCAACACACATCTTTATTTTCTCTACCCACATGCTCTTGTTCTGCATGACCAGATGTCCAAAACATCGTCGTGTCAGTGCTGGCCAAGGAAATTCAGATGTTTGTCATGTAGGTGATCTCTATGTTAGGTTCAAGGTCAGCCTCAACACTCAATGGGAGGTTTATCCCTTATAAAATATATATGTGGAAAATAGAAAATATATTAGATCTTGTTTGGTCAGGTAAGCAGTATCGTGATTTGAATGCCAAAAGTATTTAATTCCAAAGTTGTTTTTTGTGCACAAGCTTACCTGAGTGCAATCATCATCTATGTTTATGCACATGATTTTCAAATTTCAGTAAGCTCGGACTGCTAGAGTGATTATTGAGAGTAAGTTATTCATTGGTGTTAGACTGTCAGTACAATGGCATGTAAAATATTTTGTGTTGTGATGAATTAAATCACCTCTGCCCTCTTCTGTTGTACTCCAGGGTTGGTGAAACTGCCGGCTGCATTTGAGGAAGGTTATGCTGAGAATCAACTGTTTTGCTCAACAAAGAGCCATTAATCATCTTGACCATGCTGTATATGTCTTCTGATTTCTTCAGTTAAATGGCCATCGATTGTTGAACTTTTTCTACTGTGCTACACTCCCTTATGATATGTATCTCTATCAGGAAATGCAGACAAACGAATTACACAACTATGTTTTTTTTTCCTTTTAACAGTACAACTTTGGGCTTGGGACTTTATGTCATAGTGACAATGACATAAATGTTGCAACCTTCAGATTTGTATATCCATAAAGCTAGCCACACTGCAAATCAATGTTACATTGCTGGTGTGACAGTGTTTTGATACACACGTCAGTGGTATGATGGTATCGTCACACGAAAATTCGAGAACTCTGGATTAGAAGTTATGGAATAAACAAGAACATTTTAACCAAGAAATTGTCGACAGGTGGGACACTAATTCACTGCCTTTGTATTGTGACATGCAGGGTACACTTTTGAAAATTTACTTCACTTGGTTCAACAAAGGAGAGCAAGAGGATACACCTAAAGGGTGCCGATTTGCAACCTCGGAAAATTTGTATGACATTGGCATCGGTTTCGACTCCCATATGGCCTCTGTTTGCACCACCGTGTTCATGTCACTGCTGGTTTCGGCTCGAGTCTCGTCTCGACTCCTTTAGTGCATGTATGCAACCCTATCGCCCTGTCCGCCGCGCGCCATCGCCTCTCTGGCTGTGACCCCGGTGCGTGGGCAGGGAGGTGGAATCCCGTCTCCTGTCTAGTGTGTCATGAAGCTTATGTTTTTGGTGGTGGCAGCGCTAAATAAGCCCTCCCCACTCCATCTGCATTTTGACAGATCTTGGGTCAGGTGTGGTCTCATGTGTTTCTTGATTCGACGAAGCTGAGAGTGCCCTTCTTCCTCCGTTGATGTTCTGGTGTGGTGAGGGTGGAGAAACGGCACGGCAAACTCGAAACCGCGGCCATCGGATGATCATCGAAAGGGCTTGTCTGGCAGATTATGATATCCGTGTTCTCAGCGGCGTAGCCAGCGCCGGCCAACGCCCTAGTCCAACATCTGAAGCTACAGTAGCCACCGGGTCCGTAGTACTAGAAATTGCTACATTTAACGAATGGGTGCGCAGCCACACCCCAGGCCATGGCCCTAGTTGCCTGAGCCTGGCTACGCCCCTTTGTGTTGTTGTTCGTCTTATGGGAGCTCCGATGAAGATTTAGAAGGTCACCATAGTTACGCCGACGACAAGGACCTTGTAGTCATAGTGTCATACACGGTTGCTTTTTCTTTTGTTGTAGGCTGCTTGTGGTTGTTTTATGTATTGTACTCCCTCGGTCCCAAAATAAGTGCCGTGGTTTTAGTTCAACCACGACACTTATTTTGGGACGGAGAGAGTATATGCCTACCGGTGCACATCGTCGTACTTGTATGCCTTACCTGACCATCAATAGCTAAACGTAAATGTGTGAATGTACACTTTTAAAAGAAAATGTAGCAAAACATTCCGTAATAAAAATCTCAAAACATACTCCACGTGTGCTGACGATATCCATTCAATTGGAGTGATAAGCCCACCACTATGCAAGTTTTCAAGCATCAAAGTTCAACAACGACCCTAGCTATGATAAAAGTGAACCTTCTTCCAAAGATGCACATGACCAAATTATCACAAACTTCTAGATTTATTTAATTGTAGCTTTGGCGATATAAAATAAAACATCCAACTAGTCATGACTAGTAAACAACTCTCAAGTAGCACCACGGCATATCACTGCCGCCACACATATGCGGTAGAAACCCCCTGACTACGAACTTCTCCAATGCTAGTCACTTAGGGACAGGTTATCTTTGGGGGGCGAATGAGGAGGCGGGTGGTGGTGGTGTGCGGGTCGGAAGAAATTTTTGGCACAACAAATGTATAGCTGGCCTCCTCCCCTGGGAACCCGTTGGAGAGATTCGTGCTTATGATCTGGAAATTTGAATGTTGGTGCCATCCCATGGTGCGGCTGTAGAAATCAACATCGCACTCGAATCTATGATTTTCTGTCACAACATGAGGATGAATGCACAAGATGGAGATAGCATTGCCGAAAGGTGGCACCAACGTGAACTTTGCTAGGAAAAGGGGGCCACCTTCTTCTTTCCTGTGGAGAACACGCATTCCTTCCTGCATATGAAGGGTGAAAGAATATCCATACGCAAACGCAGTTGCGGGCAACATGTGATCGACAGTGAGATGGCGCTGGAGTTGGGCGGTTGAGCCTGCGAAGCCGCAACCAGGTTCGGGGCAGAAGCAGGGCGCATGCGGACACGATTTCTCATGCTCCTCTTGCTGGTAGTAGTGTGTCTTGATGGTGCACCCATAGATGGAGTTGGAGCAAGAGACCTTAATAGACTCGAGGATGTGGTCGAAGGCGATGCAGCGGTTGTAGCCTCCGGTAATGGCGCACACATGGCAATTGTCCTTCTTCCGGAGCTTGTGATGGCAAGACGAACATATCACATGCCCGACCCTACACTGCATTATATCACAGAGGAAAAGCATTAATCATGGGCTTGCCTATGAGAAAGATAACACTGATACACTTGCTAAAAACATTTCCGTACACATAAACAAAGGAGACTCCCTGGCAGTTAGGAGGATGTTTGCCAAAAAAGCTCAAAGAAAATTTTGTTTTGGTTGAACAATGACTTGGTGGGAGTTCGACCTCTTTGTACTCCCAGTTTCCTAGACAATTTAAATCAATGAGGTTGCCACTTGCCAAGGGTTGGAAAAAGAAGTCAAAAGACAGCAAGAGTTCCTACAACAATTAATCTATTAAGATAGCGGGGAGGAAACAGTTAATGGAGGCACTAGGGTCATAGACCAAAGTAGTAAAAAAATAAAGAGCAAGGTGAATGAGATGAAAAATAATGAGGAAGAGAATCAAATGACTATGAACCTATCCAAGAATCGGGTGTATCATTTACTTCAAAAATCAGGAAAGTCTGCACAAGAGATCTAAATGTTAACAAACAAGGGGATGAGAATCCAAGGAGGTGTAACAGATTGAAGTCTCAGGAGGGCTCATGATTGAATATCTTGCCAAAGATAGGGTTGGTGCCAAGAATGACTCTAGTAAGATACCCATCCCTAATATAGTTTCTTCTAGTAATCCTAGTCTTGCTTAGATGGCCTCCTATGCAGGGGTCAATTTGGATTGCTCTTCTGATATGTTAATCATAACATTAATGGTATTAAATCTCTTCAGGAAGTTAGATATGATCTTATGACACAAGAAAACTAACCAACAATCTCCTCCCCCCCCTAAGATACACACTCCTAGTAAGATTGAAATCGAGGATGTGGACCTAGAGGAGTTATTCTCTGATGGAGACAATAGTCATACGGATATGGAAAAAGCCTGGTGGGATCATCTCAAACAGGTTTTCTCTAATAAAAAAATAGGAAAAAACATGCTAGTGGTAATGGGTGTGTGCAACTTGTTTGTCCATTACAAACATTCGAAAATTTAAAAGTAAATAAAGGAACAAAAATGAGAGGTGTTTTTTGAAACATGAGAGGGTTTGGAGGAGAGGTCAAAAGGAGATACTTAAGAGAGTTATTTATGGAAAAACTTGTCGAATTTGTGGGTCTGCAAGAAACAATGAGACAACCATTCTCTAGAACTGAGTTGCACAATATATGTGCTGGCAGGGATTTTCGTTGGCAACATACTCCTGCTAGGGTTAGATCTAGGGGGCTATTTCTTGGTGTTAATTTCAAATCATTGTATGTATATAGGAACACAAGACGATGGTGACTATTACATAAATATAACAGTACAAGATAAGAAAACAAACTTCATTTGGATTTTAATGTTGGTTTAAGCGGAAGCCCAAATGGAAAGGAAAGTTGGCTTTTTATCTAAACTTTCAAGGGTTCTGCATGATTTTACAAATCTGAAACTTTCAAGGGTTCTGTGTGATTTTACAAATCTGAATTTGATTGGTGGATATTTTAATAGCATTCAAAATTCTTCTAAAAAGAATAAACCAGTAACTCTTGGAAACTGGAGTTTTGTATCTAGTGTTGTACTAGTACACACTGGCCTGGGAGAAATTAAGATGAATTGAAGACATTATGCATGGGGCAATACTTTGCAGGAACTCACTTTTGAGAAATTGGATAGGATGACTTGCAACACTGATTGGGAGGATAAATGCCTCATATTGTCGCCCTTAGAAGGGAGAAATCTGATCATGCACCATTGTATATAGATACATGGGACATGCAGAAAAAAGGCCCAATTTTTAGGTTTGAAAACTCTTAAATTTGGAAGGAAGGACTAAATGAGTTAGTACATGAATTTTGGATGAACCGCAGTATCAATGGAACTAACACTGATAAGTGGTTGGCCAGACTGAGAAATCTTAGGAAAAACTAAAAGGATGGCATAGAAATATGAATGCCTCGTATAGAATTATGAAAAAAAAGGATAATCTATTAAAAATAGATAACATTGATAAACATTGCGAAATCCATGGGCTCACTACTGCATAGTACATGAACAATTGGAACTTATAGTTGAACTAGACAGGATTATGAAAAAGAAGAGTTGAAGTGGTTACAAAGAGCAACAAGAAATAAATTTTGGAAGAGGATAGTAACACTAGGTATTATCATGCTAAAGCTAATTGCATGCATACCAAAAATATAATTACATCCCTTAACCAATATGAAGGGGTGATTGAAGGTTAAACAATTAGTTGACTATATTTTTTTTATAAAAGTATGTTAGGACATCCTGAACATTCTACAATTTCCTTTGAGGTTGAAACTTCATTTACTATACCCATAGAGGCTTGAGTTAAATTAACTAAGGAATTATCACCGAAGGAAATTAAAATTGCGGCACTTCAAATGGCTCACAATATATCTCCTGGCCCTAATGGATTCACTTCAACATTCTATCAACATTTTTGGAAATTTATTAAAATGTTTTCAAGGCCTTATTTGATGATTTCCATATAGGAGGGCTTAACATTTCTACAATGAGTTACGGTTTGATCACCCATGTTCCTAAAATCTAAGAGGAAAACTGAAATGTTAGTTTTTTTTTACAAAGATCCTTATGAGTAGGTTCAATATGGATGTTAGTGATGTCATACCCTTATTCAGACAACTTTTGTTAATGAGAGAGACATTATTTAAGGGGTACTTATTTTACATGAAGCTTTGAATACATGTCATGTAAAAAAGTAAAGCTCAACTATTTCTAAAGTTGGCTTTTAAAAGGCATATGACAAACTAAAATGTCTTTTTGTTCTAGAAATCATGAAACTGGAAGGTTTTCCTGAAAACTGGATTTATTAGATTGTGTTTACTATTAGACCTTGGCATGTGGGGGTAAAATGCAATGCTTGTATTGGCCCATACTTCCCACCCACAAAGGATTGAGGAAAGGGGATTCCCTATCAACTGTTATCTTTGATTTAGCTGCTGATGTACTAGCAATGTAGATGGAGAATGCCAAAAAAACTGGGTTAGTTGAAGGACTACTAGAAGAATATTTTGAGGGCGGTGTCAACATGTTGCAATATGCATATGACACAATATTCCTGATGCAAGATGACTATGACAGTGCACATAATTCAAATTTTATGTTGCCAATTTGAACAGATGTTTGGTTTTTAAAAAATCACAAAACTCAACTTTCCTTTTTGGTGATGTTGCTAGCAAATCTGATTGGGTGTTTTGGTGAAACAAAGTACCATAACCGATGTGCGTTTAGTGAGGTAGTTAGTAACACTTTATTTTCTTTATTTATTTGTCCTATATGATGACATTGATCAAAATTTGTGTCTGGTGCCTAAGATGTAATTCGATTTACTTCAGCTCCATGTATATAATCCCTATATGAACTTTTAGGGTTTTTTCCAAGAAAAATAGAACCCTAGAAATAACATGGAAACCAGATCCCTTATGCAATAGTGGATCTAGATGGGGTCAATTAGGGCAAAGGAAGAGGAGAACCTGAAAGACGGGAGGCCTGAGGGGATCAAAGCAGAAGGCGCAGTCCAGCACCTCTAGAGGGATGGCACCTTCGCTGGTGGCGGACTTCTCCCCCCTCCTCCTCTTCGCCTCCATACTCTCAATCCCCTGTGCGCTCATGTTCCTACAATGAAGAAATTATGTGGACCTCGTGCTTGTCGCCTCAATTTTATCGCTGGATATAGGCGGAGAGACAGAGAGTGAGCTTCTTAGCGGGCTCCTCACATGGGCTTTCCAATGCAGTTTTCTTGGACAAACCCTATTCTCCTTCTCTGCGTCAACTTGTCTCTGCTTCCCACAAAGAGCGAGCGAGCGAGTGAACCACACATGGGCCAGCCCATTAGGCTGGATTTACGTGCAAGGGAGATCTTGGTTTTGGAAACCTTTCGAAAGGTTTTACCCATTTTGGGAAACCTTTTAGAAGGTTTTGGTCTATTTTTTCATGGTTTTTTTCTTTAATGGTTATTCTTTCCCCCCAAAAAATAAAAAATATTTAGAAATGTCAAAACTTGTTTGAGTTTTAAAAATATGTTCAAAAATTCAAACCATTTCAAAAGTTTCAAAAAATATTTGCATTTAAAGAACACAATTTCAAAAATTCTTCACATTTTTGAAAAAATGTATTTTCAAAAAATGTTTGGATTTAAGAAAATTGTTCATAGTTTCAAAAATTATATGTGCTTTTCAAAAGATGTTCAGAAAACTGGAACAAAATTTCAAATTCTATTTTTTTAAGATGGGAATATGTTTTTGAAAAATGAAACCCAAAAACATAAAACTAGTAAAGAAAAAAAGGAAACATGTGCGCCCTGTGCATCATTGATGGGGCTAGTCCGTCACTCCCTATATGAAAGGTTGACTGTTTGCCAAAGTTAGCGTCAAATATAACCTTCCTTTCACTTGAGCCCACACTGAGAGTCGCGAGTGCAGTTTTCTTGACATGTAATCTTCAAGGACCAAACAAATTACTATATTGGACTAACATTTACTTGCCATCCAGGAATTAGTATTGATTTAAAAAGGTCATACCTGGTGGTAATTCCTTGAGAACTGTAGACACACGTATGTAAAAGAGAATTTATATTTGTAAGTAAAATATGTGTCTCTTGACGATGAAGCTCTTGAATAGATGTTACATGTTTGATCAGTGTGTCGATAACCCCTCCCCTGCTTCGCTGCCACAAGAGGGACACAGGCGAAACAGGGCATGCCTAGGGATGGAGGCAGTAGGCCTCTCATGGTCTATTGGCGTCCTCGTAGAACCGGGGTGACGGCCTCTCCTTGCGGTGGCAGGCCTGAGCAACGTCACGGATCGATGGCCGTGTCGCGTGTCAGAGGTCACTCTATGGCAGGCATCGTGGTTGGATTTGGGTCCCTCGAGGAGTTCTCCTCAAATCTTGGGGGTGCGATGCCAGCCTCATATGCTCCAGTCATCCGCCCAGGGCACGCACCGGTATCCTGCCTGTGGCCCGCGTTGGTGGTTTTGGGTAAGGCGAGCTTGCACCTCGTGGTTTGTAGATGGTGGTTCGCTTACCAGGCTCGATTTGGGCGGATATGTCCCTTGGTGGTCCAGCTTGGGGCAAAGGCTGATGGTGATGGATGGTGGTGGTGGAGGTAGTGCTGGTGGAGGTAGTGTTGAGTGGTGGTGGTGGTGCAGCTTGGAGCCGGTTGTGTTGCGGCGAGCTTGAGGCTCTTGTGTCGTCTCGGTTGACCTTTTCTCAATAATGACACAATGACGCCTCTCCAACTTGCTAATCATCCTGACCTCCTGTGGCGAAGCTGCTAGTCAAGCTCTGTGTTAAGCTTTTCACATACATTGATTGCCATGCTCTTATTTTGTGACAAGAGGTTCAGTACGCACGCTAGTGTGATGCATTAGGCTGTTTGTAGAGTCTTGATATTGTGATCCCTTTACAACACCCCTCATCTATTTGTGTCTCTCGTGGTGATGGTCCTTTCCTCTGCTAGCTAAGTCATGCCTTCTCCCGAGCATCCACTGATACGTCTCCAACGTATCTATAATTTTTGATTGCTCCATTCTATATTATCTACTGTTTTGAATGTTTATGGGCTTTATTATACACTTTTATATCATTTTTTGGGACTAACCTATTAACCCAAAGCCTAGTGCCAGTTTTTTGTTTTTACCCTGTTTTAGGGTTTCGAAGAAAAGGAAAATCAAACGGAGTCCAATTGACCTGAAACTTCATGGAACTCATTTTTGGAAGGAAAGAAGCCCAGAAGACTTGGAGTGCACGTCGGGGGACCTGCAAGGAGGCCACAAGGCAGGGGGCGCGCCCACCCCCCTGGGCGCGCCCTCCACCCTCGTGGGCCCCATCGTGGCCCCCCTGATGTACTTCTTCCGCCTATATATCTTCATATACCCTAAAAACATCCGTGAGCACAATAGATCGGGAGTTCCACCGCCAGAAGCCTCTGTAGCCACCGAAAGCCAATCTAGACCCGTTCCGGCACCCTGCTGGAGGGGGCAATCCTTCTCCGGTGGTCATCTTCATCATCCCGGCGCTCTCCATGACGAGGAGAGAGTAGTTCTCCCTCGGGGCTGAGGGTATGTACCAGTAGCTATGTGTTTGATCTCTCTCTCTCTCTCTCTCTCTCTCTCTCTCTCTCGTGTTCTTGAGGTGATACGATCTTGATGTATCGCGAGCTTTGCTATTATATTTGGATCCTATGGTGTTTCTTCCCCCCTCTACTCTCTTGTAATGAATTGAGTTTCCCCTTTGAAGTAATCTTATCGGATTGAGTCTTTAAAGATTTGAGAACACTTGATGTATGTCTTGCCGTGGATATCTGTGGTGACAATGGGATATCACGTGATTCACTTGATGTATGTTTTGGTGATCAACTTGCGAGTTCCGCCCATGAACCTATGCATAGGGGTTGGCACACGTTTTCGTCGTGATTCTCCGATAGAACTTTGGGGCACTCTTTGAGGTCCTTTGTGTTGGTTGAATAGATGAATATGAGATTGTGTGATGCATATCGTATAATCATGCCCACAGATACTTGAGGTGACATTGGAGTATCTAGGTGACATTAGGGTTTTGGTTGATTTGTATCTTAAGGTGTTATTCTAGTACGAACTCTAGGGCTGTTTGTGACACTTATAGGAATAGCCCAACGGATTGATTGGAAAGAATAACTTTGAGGTGGTTTCGTACCCTACCATAATCTCTTCATTCGTTCTCCGCTATTAGTGACTTTGGAGTGACTCTTTGTTGCATGTTGAGGGATAGTTATGTGATCCAATTATGTTAGTATTGTTGAGAGGACTTGCACTAGTGAAAGTATGAACCCTAGGCCTTGTTTCCTAGCATTGCAATACCGTTTACGCCCACTTTTATCATTAGTTACCTTGCTGTTTTTATAATTTCAGATTACAAAAACCTATATCTACTATCCATATACCACTTGTATCACCATCTCTTCGCCGAACTAGTGCACCTATACAATTTACCATTGTATTGGGTGTGTTGGGGACACAAGAGACTCTTTATTATTTGGTTGCAGGGTTGCTTGAGAGAGACCATCTTCATCCTACGCCTCCTACGGATTGATAAACCTTAGGTCATCCACTTGAGGGAAATTTGCTACTGTCCTACAAACCTCTGCACTTGGAGGCCCAACAATGTCTACAAGAAGAAGGTTGTGTAGTAGACATCAAGCTCTTTTCTGGCGCCGTTGCCGGGGAGGTGAGTGCTTGAAGGTATATCTTTAGATCTTGCAATCGAGTCTTTTAGTTTCTTGTTTTATCACTAGTTTAGTTTATAAAAGAAAACTACAAAAAAATGGAATTGAGTTTGTCTCATACGCTTCATCTTTTTAATATATTTCATGAGTATGATGGAAAGGATAATTGTGCTCAAGTGCTAGAAGAAGAGATCTCTAAAATATTTGGCACTAAATATTTGAATGATGAGCATGATTGCAATGTTGTTAGTATGAATTCTTTGAATATCCATGATGCTAATGATATGCAAAGCCACAAGCTTGGGGAAGCTATGTTTGATGAAGATGATATTTTTTGTTCCCCAAGTTTTGATGAGCAAATTTACTATGATGAAAGCATGCCTCCTATTTATGATGATTATTGTGATGACACATATGCTTTAAAGAATAATAATAACAATGAAACTTTTCATCTTGATTTCAATTTTCAATCCCATGATAATTATTTTATTGAGTTTGCTCCCACTATTATTCATGAGAAGAATTTTGCTTATGTGGAGAGTAGTAAATTTTCTATGCTTGTAGATCATGAAAAGAAAGCTTTAGGTGCTGGTTATATTGTTGAATTCATTCATGATGCTACTGAAAATTATTATAAGGGAGGAACATATGCTTGTAGGAATTGCAATAATATCAAGTTTCCCCTCTATATGCTCAAAATCTTGAAGTTATGCTTGTTTTCCCTTCCTATGCAAGTTGATTATTGTTCCCACAAGTTGTTTGATCACAAAATCCCTATGCATAGGAAGTGGGTTATACTTAAATGTGCTATTCATATTCTTCATGATGCTCTCTTTATATTACAATTCTTATCTTTTATGTGAGCATCGTTGAAATCATCATGCCTAGCTAGGGGCGTTAAACGATAGCGCTTGTTGGGAGGCAACCCAATTTTATTTTTGTTCCTTGATTTTTGTTCCTGTTTAGTAATAAATAATTCATCTAGACTCTGTTTAGATGTGGTTTTATGTGTTAATTAGTGTTTTTGCCAAGTAGAACCTTTGGGAAGACTTGGGGAAAGTCTTGTTGATCATGCTGTCAAAAACAGAAACTTTAGAGCTCACAAGAATTGCTGCCATTTTTATTTGGAGAGTGATATTTAGTTAATTCTTTTTGAAGATGATTAATAGATAAATTCCTCAGGTCTAGCAATTTATTTGAGAATTTTATGAGTTCCAGAAGTATACGTTTGATCCAGATTACTACAGACTGTTCTGTTTTTGACAGATTCTGTTTTTGATGTATTGTTTGCTTATTTTGATGAATCTATGGCTAGTAAAATAGTTTATAAAGCATATAGAAGTTGGAATACAGTAGGTTTAACACCAATATAAATAAAGAATGAGTTCATTACAGTACCTTGAAGTGGT